CCTGCCGTGCCCTAACAGGGGACTCTGATCCCTATTGTGCCAGGCAGCACTGGCAGCACAGGGCCATGTGTGCAAGCACCCGGGGAGGGGGGGGCTTGTGGCTTTTCCCAGTGCATTCAGGGTGTCCCCATAGCCAGGCACCCAGCAGGGCAGGAAAGGGCCCAGACTGGGCTGCCTTGTGTCTATGGGTGTCACTAGTGGTGAGCTCCCACATGGCTCAGCAGGGCCCTGCCTGGCCCCTTCCCAGGGTCTCTCCCTGCACAGAGCAGGTTGTTCCCTGGGGGTGGGTGATGCTGCCTGGCTCAGCAGAGCAGGACGGCCACAGTGCCCCTGCCCCACTGCACTAGGGCAGAGGGATGGAGCCGAGCAGGGCAGGAGCAGCGGGAGAGGAGTTACATCCCCTCTGGACCCCGTGCCTCGTGCTGTGGACCCCTCCTCGTGCCAGCCAGCTCCAGGCAGTGGGAGTTGAGCCTGGCCCCTTCGCATGGGGGAAGGAAACGCAGGATGTGCCTGGCAAAAGCAGGTTTGCTGGTGTGCATGAACAGGACGAGCTGGGGCGATCCCTGCCTCTGCCGGTGCTGAGGCTCTGATCCTGCAGCACTGCGCTCCCATCCTGCATCCGGAGAGCCTGGACACAGAACCCCTGTGCGGCTCCTCGAGCTGCCCTTGCCCTGCCCGCTCTGGGCCTTTGGACACGGTCCCAGGCACTGAACAGGGGGGGAGCAGCCATGGGGCCCACAGTTGTTTCTGTGGACAGCGTGGCCCATGCACAGGGGTCACCGTGTCTCTGCCCCCCACCAGACACACACAGAGCTGATGGAGCCTGCGGTGCCCAAGCCTGGATCTGCCTTGGTACAAACCTCATGGGCAGGGCAAGGCCAGGCAGAGCTGAGCGTGCTGCTGGTGTCCTGAGCTGGGCACATGAGCTGGCTCCGGGGCTGCTCCCACCCTTCCCAGCCCCTGGGATCGCTGCTCCCATGCCAGATTTGCTCCATGCTGATGCCAGCTCCCCAGGCGAGGGCTGGGGCTGCCCGGGCCATGGGGACCCCATCAAGGTGGGTGTTTATTTGAGGTGAGCACTGACAGTGTGTGCACGGAGACCTCAACCTCGGCCAAGGGCATCCCTGTGGGTACAGGACAGCCCCATGGGAACAACACTGGCACTGCCTGGGTTGCAGCAGAAGGTACAGCCCCCCCTCTCTGCAGGACACCCAGGGGATCCCCTACCCCTCGACCCGCCCCAAGCCTAGGGGACAGAGCACTTGGGCTGCAGCCCCCAGCACCCACCCAGGGCACGGCACAAGGCGGCCACAGGCACGATCTCAGCCGGGGGAGGCTGCGTGGCCCAAGTGCAGGCAGGGAGAGGCTGAGCTGGGCTGGGAGCCAGGAGCGCCCCGGGCTGGGCTGAGCCGCGGTGTTCAGAGCTCTCCTGGCACCTCGCGGAGAGGAGAGGGGTCACAGCCAGCCCTGGGGAAGGCAGAGGATGAGCAGGGGGAGGAAGGCTCCTGCCAGGGGAAGGGGGAGCTGAGCAGTGGCAGGGCTGGTGAAGAAGCACCTTTAGAAAGCAGTGACTGCAGCACACCGGGTGCCAGGAGTTAGGTGGGAATTGGGACGTGCCCACAGATGGCCACTGCAGGGGAAAGGGCTGCACTGGGACAATGGTGTAGCGTGAGGATGCATTTGAAACCCTCCTTTGGATGTGTGTGTTACAGCACGTCCGGTGCCTCCATCCCTGGAGCATCCGACACGGCTATCACAGGGAGCATCCTGCCCCTCGGGTTGGGCACAGGTTGGCTCACTTGCTCCTTAAATACTTCCAGGTTTTGCAGACTTTGGGATGTGAGCTGCCAGGAGTGGCTGTGTAAGGAAGGGGACTCTGGTACTTGAGCAGCCAGCCTGGGATTCCCTGTGCTGGCTCTGGGGCCATGCCTCGGATCCTTCCAGGAGCAGGTTAGTCACCGGGGCTGACGCCTCTCAGTGCTGCCCTCACTGATTAATGGGATCAAATCCTGCACACCAGAACTCCAGCTCATCCTGAATCCGGGTCTGTGCAGTCACACGCAGGCTGCAGGAAGGATGTGCGAGGAGAAAAGCTGGTTTCTAGGAATGTCTCAGCCCGGAGGGCATGTGTGAGCTGCTGGGGAAGCAGTAAAGCAAAAGGCCGGGATGATTCCTGCCTCTCTGCTGCACTTCCCAGATGCATCAGAGGGGCACCAAGACCCCACCTCAGAGCACAGGGTGAAATGGCCTTTGCGGGACCCTGCCACAACCCAAAGCATGACCTGGGGGGAGGAATGCCCTGCACAGACTGTTCTGGACCCTCTTTGCTCCCCCTGCTGAGCCTAAAGGCAGCCTGGCAGCTCACCAGACATCACCACGGCCGAACACAGGGGGTTTTCCTGTGCACGGAGCCAGTGTTCAGCCTAGAGGGGACGGAGATGGTCATTTGCCAGGCACTGGGCACAGAAGCTGCAGCAGCTCAGTGCTGCCCGCTGAGAGATGCAAAGATCAGCATTGCCACCTCGTGGGGAGCAGGGACAAGCGCATCCCTGGGAGGTGGCACCTCCTTGGGCAGGGAGGCAGGAGGGGGTCGGGACCGAGCACCCAAGGATGGACCGAGGTGAGGAGGGTGCGAGGGTCAAAGCGCCCGTGCCGAGCTGAAGGCACCCGGCATTAATCCTGCTCTGAAGGACGGAAAATGGATGTTAACATTTCCCTGCTAGCGATGGGCTTAGCGCTGGTGTTCAACAGACGCTTGCCTCTTTTGGTGTTTCACCAAAGGCCATGGGGGACCAGGGGTGAGGCTACAACCCGGGATGTGCCCTATGGACAGTGTGAGTCTGTAGCAACGCTGATAAATTGCCTCTGTGGGGCGTCCTGGTTCAGTGTGAGACCAGTCTGCCCAGCAGCATCGTCAGGAGGTAGCAGGGACTGGCACTGAATACCAAACCCAGCCCTTCTGCTGCAGTGAGGACTTTGAAGTGCTCTAGCAGAAAGATGCAGTGTAAATCCCTGATTGCTTCCCTGCTGTCCGGATACACCAGGATGCGTCTGCTAGAGACGGGTCCTTTTCTGGGAGAGAAGGAAAATGTGATCAGGGAAAGAGGAGAGGGAAGAGCCATCTGCATGGTGGTGATGGAGCAAATGCACATTTTGATGGAGACGTCAGCCAGTTCTGTCACATACAGACAGACAAGAGTGACAGATGCTTGAGACACTGAAATACAGCAACACAAACATTCCTTCTGCCCAGTACAGGATAAACCATTGGCGTTTATCCTAAATAACCCCCCCAAGAAGGATGTGACATCTGAGCGTGTGAGGACTGCCGAGACTCGAGATGGCAGCACACCCAGATGCCAATAACCTGTCAAAACCACACTGAGAGTGGGAGATGGCTCCAGAGCAGGCAGGAAAACCTACAGAGAGCGAGCTGCAGCCACAGGAAACCTAAAAGGAGCTGATAACCGACCTACAACAAGCCCATGCCTCCCTAGGGGCAATATTCCTGCTCCATATGCAGCTCTGACAAAGAGTTTATGCTCTGGTTCTCTATGGTTTTTGACCCCATTAATTGTGTAGGAGATTTACTGATCTTCCTATTGGGGCTCTCAGTGTATTTTTAGAGCATCTTTGAGCTGGGTGTGATGATGCTCACCTGGCAGCAGCCCCTGCTCCGCATTGTGCTGAGCCAGTGCTAGGAGACACTCATCCCTTTGTGAGGGGTTTTCAACCTCGCAACAGTCACCAGGGAAATGCTGAAGTGTCTTCCTTTAGCAGCTCATACTGAACACCGAGCCCCAGGCTCCTGGCCCCCAAATCAGGACTCAGACGGAGGGTTAAATGCTTTTAATGTCATTAAATGCCAAGGTCTGACTGTCAGGGTTGAAATGCAGTAGTCCAAGGGCACTTGTTTCACTTGTTTAAAAACGCTTCCTTTTCTGGCAGATTTGGGTGATAACTTGAGCCTTTCCCTTTGGCATCAAGGAGCCCCCAGGCCCTCTCTCAAGAACACTGTGTTCTGCAGCAGCCTCAGAGCTTCTCCATGCAGGAGCAGAGAAGCCCAATTTCCATCTGCATATGGCTTCAAGCTTGGCTGCCATCATAGTGATAGTGGAGTGACAAACACATCCACAGGGAAGCTCTCCAGGATGAGCCTGAGTCTTCTCAGGTGGGCGCATATAAAGAAGTGATCCCCAAGGTGTGGAGCCCAGGGCAGATAAACCGGCCTGTGCTGGGCGCTGCAAGGCCAGACCCAGGCTCTGAGCACCCACACGGGGTAAAAGGGAGTGGGCTCACTGAATCTCTAATGGTTTAGGTTGAAAAGGACCTTGAACTCCTCCAGCTCCAACCCCTGCCACAGGCAGGGACCCCTTCCACTGGAGCAGCTTGCTCCAAGCCCCTGTGTCCAACCTGGCCTTGAGCACTGCCAGGGACATCAGTTTAAAGCCATTCCCCCTTGTCCTACCCCTACACATCCCTGTGGATGCGGCAGTGTCCCGGGGCCGGCTCGGGAGGGTTCCTGTGTGGGTGATCACGGTGAGGTGAACCCGCCCGCACCCGAGCTGCCTCCGCATGAGCCGGGTCCCCATCCGGGGATCCCGCACAGCGGCCCGGCCCCCTCCGGGGATCCCGCCCTGCACCGGGCCTGTGCCTCACACGCGGGCTGAGCCCAGCTGAGGGGTGTCCGGAGCGGAGGCCGCGGCGGTGCCCGGCGCGGCGGCCCCGGTTGTGGCGCTGCCCCAGGAGTGCCCCCGGCGCGCTCCCGCCGCTGCGCGCGGCCCCGCGATACTCCCGCCGCTCTGCGCCTGCGTGCAGGCCCCTTCCCCTCCTCCCCTTACGCGGGCCTCTGGTGCGCACGCGCTAGCGCCTCTCACGCCAGCCTGGGCGCGGTCACGTTCGGCAGTGCGGCGTGACGCTCCCGGCAAGCCGTCCAATCAGCGCCCTCGCTTCCCGTGCGTGCTGGCGTCATACGGAGGCGGTATATAAGCGGGCCGCGCCAGTCCCGCCCCCCTGACAGCGTCTCGAGCCGCCGCCGTGAGAGCATCCTCCGCCGAGAGCCGCTCGCGTCGCCTCCTCCCCGCCGCCTCCGCCGCCGCCGCCCCGCGAAGGGAAGCGTACCGTATATCGTATGTCCGCTATCCAGAACCTCCAGCCCTTCGGTGAGCCTTTTGTGCGGCGGCGGCCGCGCCGCGCCGCGCCGGGCCGGGCCGGGAGGGGGGAGCGGCTTGGGAGCCCCGCCCCGCGGCCCCGCCCGTGGCGCAGTTGCTATTCCTGGCGCCGGTTGCGTCAGGCGCGGCTGGGGAGGGGCGGGGAGGTGGAGCCGGCGGCGGAAGGGGCGGGACCGGTGCGTGACGGGCGGGCGGGGCGGCCAATGGGAGCGCGGAGGGCGGGCTGTAACCGGCGCTCTCCGCAGACCCCTTTGCTGATGCAAGTAAGGGTGATGACCTGCTCCCTGCCGGCACTGAGGACTACATCCATATAAGGATCCAGCAGCGGAACGGCAGGAAGACCCTCACCACAGTCCAGGGCATCGCGGATGACTACGATAAAAAGAAACTAGTGAAAGCCTTCAAAAAGGTGGGTGCTGGGGCGTGGGATTGGGGAAGGAGGCTCGGGGCAGGCTGGGGGCTTGCAGCAGCATTTTGTATTTGCACGGTCCTGAGGAGGCTTCTCTGTGTTGTAGAAATTTGCCTGCAATGGTACTGTAATTGAACACCCTGAGTATGGAGAAGTGATTCAGCTGCAAGGTGACCAGCGCAAGAACATATGCCAGTTCCTTGTAGAGGTAGGATGACACAGAATCGTCAAATCACAAAGTAGTTCGGGTTTGAAGGAACCTTAAACATCATCCAGTCCCAACCTCTTGCAATAGGCAGGGACGCCTTCCATTAGTAGATCAGGTTGCTCCAGGCCCCTGTGTCCAACCTGGCCTTGAACACTGCCAGGGATGGGGCAGCCACAGCTTCTCTGGGCACCCTGTGCCAGCGCCTCAGCACCCTCACAGGGAAGAGCTTCTGCCTAAGAGCTCAGCTCAGTCTCCCCTCGGGCAGGTTCAAGCCATCCTCAGTTGGCTGCAAGTCCCAGCTAAATGTTTAACTAAATATAAGGCACTATGTTAATAACTGATAGCTCCTGTTCCCGTAGCAGTAGATGAGCAGGCTGAGGGTGGACTCTCTTTCTCTTTACATTCTTGCTGGAGGCACACACTGTCCAGCAAGGTTTCACAGTGCGGTCTGACCCTTGATGCAAACTTCAGGGGGGAAGCAGAGATTTGACAGTTCATGGTGCAGGGATGGGTGCTGTGGCCTCTCTGCTTCGCTGTGCTGATAAGTGCATTTTCTTTCTTGCAGATTGGACTGGCTAAAGACGATCAGCTGAAAGTCCATGGGTTTTAAGTGCCTGTGGGTCACTGAAGCTTTATGCAAGAAGATTTCCTTACCATGAAATTCCCATCTGTCCCTTGTCATAAGTTTAAAACCAGCCGGTTTGTGTAATGTAACGATCTTGGGTCCACTGTTCGGTCTGGACTAGTGTATTTCAGTGATGTAATAAACTGACCACAGCCCATGCTATCTCGTCTTGCTGTCCCTCATTTCACAGAGGTAAACGGGGAGTTGGGCGTGCTCCAGCCTGAAGCCAAAAGTATCCAGATGTTCCAAGCTAAGCCAAGGAACTGGGTCTGTCAGTCTGGAGACTGCCCGAATCGCTCCTCTGTTTGGCTGCTCCTCCATTCCGATGGATGGGAATTCTTGCCATGCCTTCTGCGGTCCCACACAGAGCGAGGCACCAAGTGTGAGCTGTGACATGGTGCGGGGAGATCATGCCTTCCCTCTGGGCAGCGCTGGCTCCTGGTAGCAGAGGCATTTGGGGAAGCTTTAAGTCAGAACAAGAGGAGTCACAGAAGAGCGACTGGATGTCTGCGGTCCCAGCCAGGCAGGTGCTGGTACCCTGCAAGCACCAAGGTACCGGGGTAGTGCACCCAAAGGAGCTGTTGCTTGGGGTTAAACTTCTGACAAGGGATCAGATTTGGACTAATGTAATGAGTATCCTTGTAGGTAGAGCTGTAGAGCTTGTGTGTTCTAGCAACGGTGGCCTAATGCCCTGTGAAATAACAGAATCCTGGTTTCTCTTTTAATGTTTTATGTGATGTATTTAAAGTCTTATTTAAATAAAAATGGTTTTCAAAAGCAGTTGCTTGCTGGATTCCCTCACTTGTTGGAGCCAGGTGAGCAGCAATGCTGGCTCTCTGCTTTGGCAGCTCAGTGGACTTCCCTCTTGCTGCAGGGAGCAGTGCTGGGGTCCTGGGAGTGTTTCCTGTGGGAAGCAGAGCATCCTGAGTGCTGCGCCTCCTGTGTGGATTCATTCCCTCCCTGTAAGGGCACCAGGTCTCCTGCTTGTTGGGTTCCTGTGTGCTGGGTGCTTGTGTTTCCAGCAGTGACAAACTACTGCAGTGAGGGCCATGGGGCTTGGGGTGGTGGCAGAAATGGGGACCTGCCTCAAAGCTGCTTTGTAACTTGTCAGCTTTTGAAGAACTGATTTGTCTTTTTTCGCTGTCTGCAGTGATCCCGGTTTTCCAGTCCTGCTCCATGTGCTGCAGTGGAGCACCAGCTTCACCTCACGCCATTTACTTTCCTAAGAGACTTTGCTCTTGGAAACCGAATTGCCACAATTATGCAAAGCTCCTCTGAATACACTGAGGAGGGAGGTGCCCTGGAGCCCTGCCTGCACCTCATGCTGTGCTGTGTGTACGTGCCAGCAGCCCTGGCTGCTCCAGGAATTCCACTTCCCTGCCTGCACCTGCGGGCATCGAGCGGGGCTCTCCCAGCAGCTCAGATGCAAGAGGGAGGCATCAGCTCGGCCCAGTGTGGCCCAAGAGAGCCAGACCCGGCTGCTGCCACCACCCTGTTCCCCTGCACCCATCCTGTCAGGGTGCACCCAGGGCTGGGAGAAGGGAGCAGCACCCCAGGGTCAGGCTGCAGACTTGCGTCAAGGCACAGCCGAGCCCACGGCACTGGAGGAAGCAGCCGCTGCGTCCCAGTGACCCTGATGGCTCATTTGGCCCGGATTGAGCCATTAAAAGCCAGAAATTGCAAACCAATTTGTTTGTTCCTTGTAAAAGCCGCTCCTTGGAGCGGGGAATCGATCGCGCGGGGCTGGGGCGCTGCTGCCTTCCTGCCCATTCAAAGCCCATTTGTTTTGGGGTTGTTTGAGGAGCACCGATAGCGGCACGGTGAGCGCTGGCAGCGGAGAGCACCCGGTTTCTCGCTCCACGGGTGTTATTGAAGGAGGGAGACAAATGTGCTCCACAAATCAATGAGGGTAAATGGGGGCCATGTCTCTGTCGATATTGAGAGCCAGAGCTGGTGGCAGCAGATGGGCTGGGTACAGGATGCAGGGGTGATGCGGTACCAAGCCCTGGGATGCACAGTGTGTCCCCACAGACACAGGCAGTGAGCAGGGCCCACCCAGCCCAGAGCACCCCAAAGCAGTTTGGGGTAGCAGGAGATACAGAGGCTGGAGAAAGGGGCCTCTTTGCAGCGTGTGGCTGGGCACAGCAGTCCCTGCAGCACATCTGGCCAGCTGTGACTCCACCAAGGCCAAGGGCTGGAGGCGGGGGTACACCTGCCTATACATACAGCTGCATCTGCTCCTATGGATTGTAGCTGGTTATGTATCCATCTACATGCATAAATACCAACATGTACGTGCATGTATCTGTGTATATATAGCCCTCTGTGTATGTGTAAGTAGGACTAAGCATTTCTAAGTGTATATATATATATATATAGACATATGGGGTGTGCATGTTTAGCACTACCTCTACTTTTCCGTACACATACATGCAATTCAAGCCAAGTGCCCTGTAGCTTGCTCCACTGAGACTGTTACTTCTGTATGTCCCTCTGTAGCTACATATGAAAATCCCTATCTCTATATGTATACACTATACTTACAGCTGTATATGTGCATGTATAGCTCTCTATGTATATGGATATGTGTGTGTCTGTATATATGGCTATATCACTAACAAGCTCTGCATTTATGTGTATATATTTACATGTGTATGCATGTTAGGCATGTGTGCATATGCACATGTCTACAGCTACAGCTGTACCTGTATATGTTTATATGTGTCTGCACACATACATAGCTCTGGGTGTGTGTACACTGATCTGTTTCATACAGATGTGTCTGTGAAATACAAAGCTGGAGATAGAGGGGTAGGGATCAAGAGCTGGGCATTTATACCCATATACATACAACCACTGCCAGCTACCTCCTGTACTCTCCATATAGAGACATACATACACGCACACACATACATGTATGTGCATGCACACAGACACCCTCCGTGTGTGTGTCCATCTGTCCGTGCATCCCAGGGCTCTGCGGGGGGGGGGGGGGGGTTGGGGGCCGCCCCAGGGTGGGGCAGCGGTGGTGGCGCCTTTAAAAGCAGAGCTGAGCCCTGGGTTGAGGAACCGCTGAGCCCGGAGCCAGCTGGTGAGTGCCGGAGGGCTGGGAACAGGGATGGAGGGGATGTGGGGACCGGAGGGGAGGGATGGAGGGGATGTGGGGACCGGAGGGGAGGGATGGAGGGGATGTGGGGACCGGAGGGGAGGGATGGAGGGGATGTGGGGACCGGAGGGGAGGGATGGAGGGGATGTGGGGACCGGAGGGGAGGGATGGAGGGGATGTGGGGACCGGAGGGGAGGGATGGAGGGGATGTGGGGACCGGAGGGGAGGGATGGAGGGGATGTGGGGACCGGAGGGGAGGGATGGAGGGGATGTGGGGACCGGAGGGGAGGGATGGAGGGGATGTGGGGACCGGAGGGGAGGGATGGAGGGGATGTGAGGACCAGGCAATCTCCAGGGATGAGCAGCACCTGCTGCCTGCCTGGCAGCGTTCAAGGAGCTCTGGGCAACACTCTTGGACATATGGTCTAGTTGTAGGTAATCCTGTGAGGCACAAGGAGTCGGGCTCAATCCTCATGGCCCCCTTCCAACTTGAGTCCATTCTAGGGGACCTGGGGACCAACCAGGAGATAGGGATGGAGAAGACTTGGGGACCAGCCGGGGGGGTGGAGGGGACCTGGGGACCCTCTGGGATGGACAGGGGGGATTTGTGAACTGGCCATGTCCTGGGGATGAGCTTCCCGCATGGATCACCCCTCGCCACAGGCTGAGCACGTGTCCCCTGTCCCACGGCCACAGCCCCTCTGCTCCCCTTCCCTGCTCAGTCTCTCCACAGCCATGAAGGTGAAGCTTTGCATCGGCCTCATCCTCACCATCGCAGCCACCGCCTGCCTGTGCCGGCCCGCAGCAGAGGCCCCAGGCGCTGGGAGGGGTCCCCCCCAGCCCCCAGGCAGCCTGGTCCGGCGGGACTGGCCAGAGCCCCTGTCCCAGGAGCAGAAGCACCTCATCTCCAGGTTCCTGCCCCACGTCTTCACAGGTACCGGGGGGGCAGCTCTAGGGGGGAAGCTCCATAAGGCAGAGCCTGGCACCGCAGTGCCAACCCCGGCCTGGGGCAGCGATAACCCCGCTGCCCTCGCCTCGGCAGAGCTGCGTGACCACAAGGGCTACGAGGGGATGGAGGATCTGCACGACCTCTACTACCCCGACTGGATGGACTTTGGCCGCCGCAGTGCTGAGGACTCAACCGATGCCGTGTAGCGACCGCGCAGCGCAGAGCACCAGCACACTCGGTGCACGTCCCTTCCTGCAATAAAGCCTTGGCACTACGGGTGCTGCTGGTCACGGCCTTGCTGGGAGGAGCTGGGGAGGGGGGAGATGGACGGTGGGATTGACCCCCAGCCCCAGCAGGAAGCACAGCAGCAGACACAGCACACAGGAGCTGCTTCATGACTTCACGTTTATTTGACAGGGACAGGACTTGGGGTGAGGGATGCAGCTGCGGGAGCAGCAGCTACACCCCAAGAAACACCGAGTGCAGGTGACCCCCGAGCCAGGGGTGCTGCTGCTGGTACTCAGTGCACAGGAAAGAGTCTAAACCCAGCATCCCTTTTCGATGTCAGCCCAGCTGCTGGCCAGGGCCAGCCACGGGTGGGAGATCTCACCCTGGCCCCCAGGACCACCCCATCATCCCCTTCGCTGCAGCAGCCCCAAGGGGCCGAGCTGCTCCGGGGACAGGCTCAGCAGAAGCAGGAACAGTTTTTATTGCTGGAAACCGACTCCTTTGAAGGGTCTGTACCCCCACAGCAGGGGACGGGGGCAGCGGAACCTCCCTGGAGCCCCACCATCACGCATGAGGGCAGATGGAGTTTTAGGTGGCAAAGTGAGGGCAGATTGCCGTGTTGGTGGCACTGCTGCGGAGCTCACCGTGTGTAGGTGATGCCCAGCAAAACCCTTGTCCTGGCACTATAGCTTTAAAAGCAGGGCTTGGATGTTTGCACTTGAGGAGCTGCCGGAGGTGCCCGAGAGCGCACCCTGCACAGGCAGTACAGGGATGGAGGGCGGTGGCAGAGCAGAGGTGCGGTTCCCGTTGGGGCACTGCTCCGGAGGGCTCCATAGGTGATGCCCAGCACCCGGGTTCAATCCCGGCCCCTCCTGCAGCGCTCCGGTGCTGCTCTGCCTGCGCTGGGGGCCGGCACCGCCCCTTCCACCCCGCCCCTCCTCGCTATTGGCTGTTCCTCCGCTCCCCCACCCCGTCGCAGCCGCTGATTGGCCACTTGGGTCCGTGCCGAGCGCCTCTGAGGGTACAATGGCCCCCGGGCGCGGTACCGCTCGCAGCCGCGAGGGGGCGCGACGCTGGCAGCGGGAGCCGCAGGGACCGCGGGGTCCCCGGTGGAAAGGGGGGGTCCTCCCCGGCGGGCCCGGGGGTAGCGCCGGGGTAAGGGGGGGCAAACACAGCAGCGAGGAACCGCAACCCCGGCACCAGCCCAGCCCCGGGGGGGGGGTGCGACACCAGAGCCCCCTCCCCAGCCTGGGTGGGGAAACTGAGGCACCGGGCAGTGACCAAGGGGGTGTGCGGGGGGGGTGACCCCAAAACACCACACTGGGAGCTCAGTGAACATCCAATTTACTGACAGCGGGTGGGGGGGGGGGCACACGTGGGTGAGGGCAGCTCAGTAGTGCAATACCAGGGCTGGGAGCGGGGCGGGGGCAGACAGGCCCAGTCCCCCCCCCAGTTAGGGCTGGATGGACAGGGAAGTACTACTGGTCATACTGGGAAAGGACCAGTTCCCCATTGGCCCTGGGGTGGATGCCAAGGTGGGGGGGTGCGTGTGGGGCAGCGGGGGTTATAACCCCTCCATGCTGCTCCAGTACCATCCCCAGCTACGTACCTAAGTGTCACCAAGGCAGGAGGGGGGTGCTGGGACCCCTTCACGCCACATTTCAGGGTCTTCCCAGTGAGCCCCAACCAGTGCCAGGGGAGGCAGCACTGGGATGCTTCACCACCACCCCAGGGCTATGGGGGTCCCCGGCAGTTGGGGGAGGGGCTATCTACAGCCTGGGGGGGCAGCGTGCCCGCGGGGGGCCCTATGGGACGCGGTAGGTGGAGGTGTTCTTGGGTTCGGTGCTGGGGACGGACCAGTCCCCTGCCTCCTGGCTGGGCTGGTAGTGCCGCCACGCCGACTTGTTATAGACCGGCAACCGCTCCACCGAGTCTGTGGACAGGGCCTGCAGGAGACACGGGGGGGGATGAGGAGGGCCCCGTGCACCCCCGGAGGACACGGCCCCCCCGTCCCAGGGGAAGAACCCACCTTTAGGTAGATGACGGCGTCGGTGCCAAAGCCCTCCATGGAGAAGAGCTGCAGGTCCCCCTGGAAGTACTTGGCGTAGAGGCGGGAGATGGGCAAGCCATAGCCAAATCCAGCCTGGGGTGGAGGGAAGAGATGGGGTGGGGGTCCCCAGAGCTAGGGTGTGCACCCCAAGGGGACACCAAACCTCCCCCCAGCACCCTAATAGCAACCCGAGCAAACCTCAAGTGTCCATGTGGTCACCTCACCACTCTCAGGCACACCCTAAAGGTCCCCCTTCCACACCAAAGTATCTCCATGTCACCCCCAGGCACCCCAAAATGCCCCCAAGCCACCTCTAAACATCTCCAAGCCACCCCCCAAGCACCCCCAAACATGGCCACGCCACCCCCAGCAGTCCCTGTGCCACCCCGCTCCGCAGACCCGCTCCCTGTCCCCCATCCCCCTGTCCCGTTGGGGCCCCCATGGCACTGACCAGGGGGGTTCCCTCGGTGGGTGCCCCGGTGCCCAGCTGCGGGGTGGGAGCAGTGGAGTACATGTAGCTGAAGAGCCGCTCGATCTTACGCAGCGGGACGCCCATGCCCCGGTCACTCATCTGCAGGACAGGGTGACAGGAGGGGGGTGACAGCCCCGCTCCAGCCCCTCACCCACAGTGTCCCCAGGATGGGGTCAGGGCCCCCCCCCGCAATGGAGCTGGTGGTCCCTGGTGTACCTTGATGGAGAGGTCCTCCTGACCCAGGGCCACCATCACCTTGATGGCCGGCAGGCGCGGGCTGTTCTCATGGCTCTCCACCGTGGCTCTCATGGCATTCTGCAGGCACAGAGCGGTTTATGGGACCCCTCCGTACCCTCCCTGCTGCTCCCCCTCACCCGCACGCTATGGGGCCGGGGTTACCTTGAAGAGCTCAAAGAGCATGTGGTAGAGATGCGAAGGGACGTAGACGATGCTGATGGGCTGCTGGGTGTTGCTGGCTGCGGGGAAGAGCAGAGCGCCGTCCTTCCCAACCCCAGATGAGCCACCCAAGAACCCCCTGCCACAGTGACAGCCCCAGCCTGGCCTCACCGTTCACTTCCTCGATCTCCAGGTCGGGGGAGGACATGTAGTACTTGTCACACAGGAGCTTGGCCATGTTGTAAGCATCTGGGAGGCGGAGGCAGAAGGGTCAGCACCCCCAGCACGAAGGCAGGGGCCGTGTTTGGGGTCCCCTTCACTCCCCATCCCATTCCAGACCCAGGAGGTTTTGGGGGTCTTCTGGAGTGACCCCAGAGCAGAGGGGACACCTTGGCTGAGGCCTACCCAAGCTCATGACACAAATGGCTCCCAAACAGGCAGCTCCCAAACAGGCAGATCCCAGGGCAAAGGGAAGACGAGGAGGACATTCAACACCCCCACCCCCCCCCCAGTTCAGTCCCCCCATGCAGGGGAAGCCCCCCAGTCCCCACAGACCTTTCACCACATTGACCACGTTGCAGTGGGGGTCGATGCTCCCGATGTGCTTGGGGTGCGCGGGGTTGGTGCTACCATCGAAGAGCAGTGCTGGCAGGGGGACAGAGAGCAGTGGGTACCCCAGAGGGCACATCAGGGACAGGGCTGGGGTGGGATGCCCAGGACTGGTGGAGATGCTCGAGGCAGGGGACCCCCAGGGGCAGTTGGGGTCCCCTCAGCGCTCACTGTGCTGGTTGATGAGCATGCGGATGGAGATGCGGCTCAGGTAGAAGCGGTCAAGGAAGTACTGGATGTTCTGGTTGGAGACGGGGTCGTCCCCATAGGCGTCCTTGTACTCGATGACCCCCTGCGCCATGGTGGGCACCACGTCGTTGTGCCGGTTGCGGATGGTGACCAGGGCATCTGTGAACCTGAGGAGGGGACAGGGATGAAGCTGGAGGGCACCGGGTTCCCGCAGAGCCCAGCTGCAGGAGCTGGTGGCACTGGGATGCTCTGTGGGGTGGGGACAGTCTGGGGATGCTGCGGGGTGCCAGGGCCCCTCTGTGACACCCCAAAATCAAGGACAAGGGGTATTACCCCCCAACTTACTGCCCCAGGGTGGCCTGGTCCTCGGGGTCCCTGTCCAGGAACTCCATGATGTCCAGCAGGCTCTGGACGTACCTGGGGAAGCAGCCGGTTACCTTCCACCCTGATGCCACCCACAGAGAGGGGACACCCTGGGTCCCCCACGCCAGGGGGGCACAGGGTGCTCTGAGCACTGCCCATTGAGCCAGAGGGGCTCAGGACCCCCTCAACCAGGACCCCCCACCAAAGACAAAGCTGTTGCCCCATGAAACCACCCTGTGCTTGTTGGGGGTCCGAGTCTGCAGCCCTCATGTTCCCCCACCAGTGACCCTCAAGCCCCCCACCCCACTATAGGGGCTGTGTCCCCAAGGGCCACCATTCCAGCATGGGGACACGAGAGTCACTGCAAGAGGGGAGCTGAGGACGCTGCACAAACAACTCATCACGTGGCGGCACTGGGAGAAGGTTCATGGTGCTGGGGGGGGGGACACGGTGCTTAAAGGGACACGCAGAGCCCCCCCTGAGGACGTGCATCCCTTTTAGGGGGCAGGAGGCTGGGGCAGGACATGGAGGTGGCACCAGTGACCTGCCAATGGCCGGGAACACCCCGCTGGCACCTTGTCAGCCAAGGACGTGGCGTGGCACCGGCTGGGTGCTGCCCTGCCAGCCCTGCGTGCGGAGGACAACCGGTGGCGGCGGTGGGATGGGACGTGCAGCGCTGGTGGGGACCCCCCCCACCACCCCCGGCAACGGCGTTGGCAGGGGTTGTGGTGCCAATGGGGAGCCATAGAGGTGACAGCGCTGGGACCCCTCTGGGTGACAACAGCAGGACAACAGAAGCGCCAGCGGTGGGACCCCCATGAGCTACAACAGTGGCAGCAGCACCCACGGAGATGGGGGGTGACCACACAGCCGAGGCGGTGTGCGATGGGGTGCCAGCCCCCCCCCCCCGTCTCACCAGCTCTGCACCAGCTGCACCGAGGGGGTGCGCAGGACGCGGTCCGGCAGCAGGTTGATCTCCTTCATGATGTTGGAGAGGCGGACGGGCAGCTCCTGGCGCAGGAAGGCGAAGGAGGTCTTCTCACAGGCATTGC